GATAGACTTTCTATTGTTGTTCAGGCATTTTGGTGTTATTTGGAGGATCTTTTCTAAGCTTTCTGCAAAGATACTGACTTTGATAGTTTGGACTCAATTAATAATCTGTTTTAAATATCAGAAAGCGGGTCAATGAAAAAATAAGTTGGTTTTCCTTAGAAACTATTTACCAATCTGATTGTAAGATCGGATTATCTCTGTTAAGTGCCTTGAGTTGCAGTGTTGTTAATTAGTGCTATTGATATAAACTGAATAAAACTGGCCCTGAATACTCATTATTATACTGACAGCTTCAGTAAAGACTGATTAGATTGTTCTCATTTCTGAAAGTAAGTCACAGAGAAAATGCATTTAAATAATGGCCTCCAGAGCTTTGAAAAAGTTTTTCTTGCAAGTTGACCTTGTACATCTGTTTTGTGGGAGCTTTATAAAATAAAAGATCATTTAATTTACCTTGTATTGCTCCTCTTTTAACAATAAATCTTTCTCCAGCATTTGACAGATGGACCATCTAGATCTCTTGCATTTTTCCTGGTAAAAAAGTGTCCAAACTATTATATACAAGACACTTCAGAGGCAGTCAGAGAGCAGAAGTTTTCTCAAAGACAGACCCTAAAAAAATAAGATGCCTTTTGTAGGGTTTGGTATCTTACTTGTTTACAGTTTACTAGTTTGTCTACTAGTATTAATTTAAGTTTTCATTTTATTATGCTGATCATAAAGCAATGTTAACACTGTTATATCATTGGCTGATCTTTAATAAATATTTTAACCAGTGTATCAGACTCATTTTGAATTGATATTAGGTTGGTACAACGTTAAGTAGCTTCTGATGTAGTTAAGCTACTGTTAACACATTAGTGTAACTTATCTTGCTATAATTCTCTAGATGATAGCTTTGGTGTAGTGAAGCTTAATTTATTGTTGAGTAACTGATAGCTTAGCTCACTACACTGGACAAGTAGTTTGCCCAACACTGATTACAGGACAGATTCTTAGTGGTTATGCTGTATTTACTGCAAATGTTATCCTTGAAGCGCACACACTTCCTGGGTTATCCGCTCAGGCTTGTGAACTTATTGCCCTCACAAGCCTGCCATCTGTCCAATAGGAAAAGAGTTACTATCTACACTGATTCTCGCTATGCTTTCGGTGTTGTTCATGATTTTGGGGCCCTCTGTAAATAGCACTCTTTTCTTGGAGTGGGAGATCAGTGCGGATTGGTGCGGCGTCTGCTGTGAAGCGTGTGCTGTACCAGTCTGTTGTGGTGAAGAGAGAGCTGAGCCAAAACTACAAAGCTCTCGATTTACCAGTCGATCTACGTTCCTACCCTCATCTATGGTCATGAGCTTTGGGTCATGACC